AAGACTCTTCATAGTTGATGAGTGGAAAAAAAGTTCTTTTCCTATCCGACTGCGACAATGTTGTAGAACGATTGTCGCAATAACTACCGATCACCGACTGTCGACAAACGACTAGCGTCATCCGACAGCGACATACGACTTATTGTAGAACAGGCTTAAGTGATGATCTTTCAACCGGTGAGTTTTCTGAACATAACCAATTTAAGTTGTCTGAACGGACCCTATGATAGCACCTTTACTTGCTTGCTGCTTGGCGTATGGACGAACTTAATTCTGTCCTATGAGCTGAGCCATATATGCACTTGCTTGCTGCTGCTGCAGTGCATCGTGCTGCGTGCTGCAAGCGTCTGCAAAACTGATATCTCTGTGAATAAAATGTCGGAAGTAGCGGTGCAACAACCGCCGCCGATAGAAAATGAAGATAATGCTCCTTCGTCACAGCCGATTGTGGGCATTATTTATCCGCCGCCAGAAGTTAGGAGTATCCTTTACCAAAAATCAAACATTTGTTGAAATGCGAGTAATGTCATAACTATGTACTGCAGGGCGTTGCTGGAAAAAAACTGGTGCAAGTACAAATTTATATTTTTTTATGCGATACATTCGAAGTTGCCAGTCAGCTCTGATTTACCACTTTGTTTGTTTGTCATAAGAAGTATTGTTTTTTTTCTTATTAAAAACTTCAGATATTGTTGACAAAACTGCCAGCTTTGTGGCGAGGAATGGGCCGGAGTTTGAGTCTAGAATCAGACAAAATGAGTTGGGCAATCCCAAATTCAATTTTTTAAACTTCGGTGATCCCTATCACGCTTATTATCAGCACAAAGTGAAAGAGTTTAAAGAAGGTAAAGGCCAAGAGCCTATGGTAGGTTCAATTCCTCTGAAGGGTGTTAATCTTACCGCACATCAGAAGCAGCAGGAGATTTTGAAACAAGTTGAACAACCATTTGTGCCTAAGGATCCACCAGCCGAGTTTGAATTCATAGCAGATCCTCCGTCTATATCAGCTCTTGATCTGTGTGTAATAAGTTTCGTGTGTAATTATTGTTTCTTTTTATATAAAAAGTGTACAAAATTGTGTGTTTCTTTTTTAGAGATATTGTCAAGCTAACAGCTCAATTTGTTGCACGTAATGGAAGACAATTCTTGACAAATCTAATGAATCGCGAGCAAAGAAATTTCCAATTTGACTTTTTGCGCCCTCAACATTCCTTGTTTCAGTACTTCACTAAACTTTTAGAGCAATATACCAAGGTAGAACAAAAATAAGTAATTGTTTTGCTATAAATAGTGACATAAATTTTTACTGCGTGAAATTTCAAATTTTATATATTCCAACAGGTACTGATTCCACCTAAGGATTTACTGTCACGTCTTAGAGATGAAGCTTCTAACAGGGACAAAATCTTGGAGCAAGTAAAATATCGCGCTGAATATTTAAAATATCAAGAGGCACAGAGACGTAAAGAAGAAGAAGAATTAGAAAGGGAGAGAGTTGCGTATGCGCAGATTGATTGGCACGATTTTGTTGTGGTCGAAACTGTGGATTATCAACAATTTGAAGTCGGCAATTTTCCAGCGCCAACCACACCGGACGAAGTTGGCGCGCGTGTTCTCATGCAGGTTTGATCTAACAATTTTGTTTTTTAAAATGTTTATTTCACTAGTTGGAAGATAAAATCTTTGATTCACATCAAATATTGAATTACTTGAAAAGATTTTTGTTTACGTTTGTGTAGGAACGTATAGAGGAAGGTGAAGATGTGGAAATGCAAATCGATAGTGATGCGGAAGAGGAAACACAAGCGCGTACGGAAGGCGAGAAAGATCGTGCGAAAGACAACAATCAAGTAAGTGTTTTTTAATATTTATTTATATTAAGACACGATTTTATTGTATCATATGTTACTATTTTTCACATTACTATTTCAAGGTGGAAGATATGGAAGAAGATTCTAGCGAGGAAGACGACGTATCTCCACCGGGTGACACTCACAAATCCAAAGAACTCAAACCGCGCGAAACTAATATGCAGCCTCCGCCATTACCACCTACGCCAGGAAATGTGGTGGTCAAGAAAGGATACGATCCGAAACTACACGGTAAAAAAAAAAACATACCTTTCTATCAATCGCTGTATTAATCGCTTGGATAAAAAAATTTTATTCTTAATATAATTGTTACAGTTAATAAAACTGCTCGTCCTGTGGCTCCGGATGAATATTTGATCTCGCCGATTACTGGCGAACGTATACCTGCTAGTAAAGTGCAAGAACACATGCGTATCGGACTGTTGGATCCGCGCTGGGTCGAACAGAGAGACAAGCATCTGGACAAATTGGCGCAGGAAACCGTATTTGCACCGGGCACGGCGATCGAAGCGAGTCTCAAACAGCTTGCCGAGAGACGTACCGATATATTTGGTGTCGGTGACGAGGAAACCGCGATCGGTAAGAAGATCGGCGAGGAGGACAAGAAGAAGGATGATAAAGTCACTTGGGACGGTCACACCTCAAGTGTGGAAGCGGCTACGAGGGCTGCGCGCGCGAATATCACGCTGGAAGAACAGATTCATCAGATACACAAGGTCAAGGGTCTTCTTCCCGACGAAGAGAAAGAGAAGATCGGTCCGAAACCGGTGAATCGTGCGACCGAACTTACTCATATGGCTGCCGCTGCTTCTAAACCGCAAGCTACTTTGAAAGCACCTCCGAAACCTCCCGCGCCGAAGCCTATACCGGTGCCCACTCAACCGCCTCCACCGCCAGCCATGAGTATGCCTGCCCCCATGGGCATACCCCAGCCGATGATGCCGCAGGCGCCGATGATGATGATGCCTATGCCACCTATGTCGGCCAGACCGCCACCTTTGATGAGTACGAAACTATATTCCATATATAATCTTGAAAAATATTATTGCACTTTTATAGACAAAGGTAAACGAAACTAAATTGTCTGTTGCAGCGCCAGCAATGTCACCGTTCATGCCGACACCACCTCCGATACAGCCACCGATGCCACCCGCTGTAAGTAATTTGTTTTTTTTTTTT